CTCAGGAGGCTGAGGTGAGAAAATTTCCTGAGCCAGGAAGGTGGAGATTGCAGTGAGCCAAGATGGCACCACTGCACTCCAGCCTGGGGGACCAAGTAAGACTCTATCTCAAAAAACAAGGGGTGTGGGGGGGCTTGGGGTGGTGTTATTTACAAAAAACTGGATCATGCATATATTAAAACTTGCTTCTGGCTGGGCGCGGTGGCTCATGCCTATAATCCCAGCATTTTGGGGGGCCAAGGTGGGTGGATCACGAGGTCAAGAGATCGAGACCATCCTGGTCAACAAGATGAAACCCTGTCTCTACTAAAAATACAAAAATTAGCTGGGCGTGGTGGTGCACGCCTGTAGTCCCAGCTACTCGGGAGGCTGAGGCAGGAGAATTGCTTGAACCCAGAAGGCGGAGGTTGCGGTGAGCCAAGATAGTGCCATTGCCCTCCAGTCTGGGTAACAACAGCGAAACTCTGTCTAAAAAAAAAAAAAAACTTGCCTTCTTAACAACATCCCATAAGCATCGTTAGTGGTCAGTCACACAGATTGAGGTAAGCAAACCTCTTCTGTGTAGAGCCAGCGAGGAAGAGGTTTTGCAGCTGGACAAAGGCTTTGCAAAGTCTCTGTTGCAACCACTCAATATAATAACTACTCAAGACTGCTGTTGTAGCCTGAGAGAAGTCATAGACAATGTGTGAATGAATGGGTGAGACTATGTTCCCGCAGAACCTTATTTACAAAACAGGTGGCAAGCCAGATCTGGCTGGGGCCCTGGTTTGCAAAGCTGACACATCACATTACTGTTGTTTTCCCAGCACTGAGAACAGTAGCTGGCATGCAGCAGGCATTCAGTAAATATTTGAAATGAGAATAATCTTACTTATTTTCATTGAGGAAGAATATTCCACTGCTTGAATAAGCATCCCTGGACCTGTGGTTTTACAAACTGGCTCCTTGTCAAATAGATTTCTAGGATTAAGGTTACTGGGTCAAGGGCTTATGAATTTTGTTTGTCACTTGACCAGTACCTCCTGGAAACCCTTTCCATTCCTAGCTTCTGTGACACCACACTCTGGTTTTTTCCTTACCTTTTAGCCACTTCCCAGTTGCCATTACTAAATTTTTTGGAAGGGATGGGAGACAGGTTTTTACTCTGTGGCCCAGGCTGGAGAACAGATGCGCAATCATGACTCACTGCAGCCTGAAACTCCTGTGCTCAAGTGATCTACCTGCCTTCCCCTCCTAAAAAGCTGGGACTACAGGTGCATGCCAATGCCAGCATGCCTACTAACATTTTTCTTTTTTTTTTTTTTTTTTTTTTGGACACATAGTCTTGTTCTGTCATCTAAGCTGGAGTGCAGTAGTGCAATATCTGCTCACTGCAGCCTCAACCTCCTGGATTCAAGTGATTCTCATCCCTCAGCCTCCCGAGTAGCTGGGACTACAGGCATGCACCACCACACTCATCTAATTTTTGTATTTTTAGTAGAGATGGGGTTTCATCATGTAGACCAGGATGGTCTCAAACGCCTGACCTCAAGTGATCCACCTGCCTCGTCCTCCCAGAGTGTTGGGATTACAGGCATTAGCCACTGCACCCAGCCTTTTTTCATTTTTTGTAGAGACTCACTATATTGTCCAGGCTGGTCGTGAACTCCTGGCCTCCAGTGATCCTCCCACCTCATTCTCCCAAAGCACTGAAATTACAAGTCCCTGTACCCAGCTTTCATTCCTAAATTTACCAAAATTTCAGAGTCCCTGTGGTAGGCAGAATAAGAGTTCCCCCTAAAGATGTCTATGTCCTAATCCTAATCCCTGAATCCTGTGACGACGTTACCTTATATGGCAAAAGGAACTTTACAGATCTGATTAAGTAGAGCTTAATCGGGATGGGCCCAATGTGATCATAAGGGTGCTTACAAGAGGGGGGCAGAACAGCCACAGTCAGAGAAGCAAATGTGACAAAGGAGAATGGGACTGGGGTCAGAGTGATTGACTGTAAGGTCACAACTGAAGTTAATGGCTTTGAAGATGGAGGAAGGAATCATAAGCCAAAGAGTGCCAGCAGCCTGGAAGACTCAAGGGAACAGATTCTCCCCTAGAGCCTCCTGAAACAATGCGGCCCAGGCCGGGCGCTGGAGCTCACATCTGTAATCCCAACATTTTGGGAGGCTGAGGTGTGGGTAGATCACCTGAAGTCAAGGGTTCAAGACCAGCCTGGCCAGCACAGTGAAACTCTGTCTCTACTAAAATGCAAAAATTAGCCAGGCATGGTGGCACACCTATAGACCCAGCTACTCAAGAGGCTGAGACAGGAGAATTATTTAAACCTGGGAGGCAGAGGTTGCAGTGAGTTGAGACTGCCATTGCACTCCAGCATGGGCAACAGTCTCAAAAAAAAAAAAAAAAAGAAAGAAAGAAAGGAAAAGAAAAGAAAAAAAAGAACACAACCCTGCTAACATCTTGATTTTAGCTCAGTTCACTGCAGTCTTCGGCTCTTCAAAACTGTAAGGTAATCAATGTGTGTTGCTTTAAGCCATTAAGTTGGTGGCAATACACTGCAGCAGCCACAGGAGTTAGATTTAATTTGTTCCCAGGTTCTTAGTGCAAGCGTTAAAAAAAAAGTAATGACTAGGTTTGCTTTTTTTCTTTTACTTTTCCTTTTTTTTTTTTTGAGACAGAGTCTCACTCTGGGCATATGCCTTGATACTCTGGGCCCGATTCACCTACTGAGTAGGAAAAAAATTGTATGTTCATAGTTACTCATATTCTAACCATTACATTTCTGGCTGGGCAAGTGGCTCACGCCTGTGATCCTAGCACTTTGGCAGGCCGAGGCAGGCAGATCACTTGAGGTCAGGAATTTGACACCAGCCTGGTCAACATGATGAAACCCTGTCTCTACTAAAAATACGAAAAATTAGCTGGGCATGGGGGGCGGGGCGCACCTGTAATCCCAGCTACTTAGGAGGCTAAGGCAGTGAACCTGGGAGGCAGAAGTTGCAGTGAGCCAAGATCACACCACTGCAATCCAGACTGGGTGACAGAGCGAGACTGTGTCTCAAAAACAAAAACAAAAACAAAACCTAGTCGTTACATTTCCTCCGTATATCAGTCAGATAATATCAAGTATTTAAATAGTTTGGTATATTCTTGTCCTTGAGCTATGCAACTTCATTGTCCTTCAACATCTGGCTGAAAACTCCTGTTAATCCTTGAACCTGGAGAACACAAAGGAGGCCCTATCTCAGCACCACACATCCCTGCACTCTCAGAAGTACTACATCACTGATTTTTTAAGTTGGAGTTTCACTCTTGTTGCCCAGGCTGGAGCGCAACGGCATGATCTTGGCTCACCACAACCTCTGCCTCCCAGGTTCAAGCGATTCTCCTGCCTCAGCCTCCCGTGTAGCTGGGATTTATTACAGGTGCCTGCCACCATGCCGGCTAATTTTTTTTTTTTTTGTATTTTTACTAAAGACGGGGTTTCACTATGTTAGCCAGGCTGGTCTCAAACTCCTGACCTCGTGATCCACCTGCCTAGGCCCCCCCAAAGTGCTAGGATTACAAGTGTGAGCCACCACGCCTGGTCTTTTTTTTTTTTTTTTTTTTCCGAGACAGGATCTCAGTGTTGCTCAGGCTGGACTGCAGTGATGCAATCACAGCTCACTGCAGCCTAGACCTGCACTCAAGTGATCCTCCCACTTCAGCCTCCCTAGTAACTGGGAGTACAGGCATGTGACACCACGCCCAGCTAATTTTCACAATTTTTTTTGTAGAAACAGGATCTCGCCATGTTGCCCAGGTTGATATCGAACTCTTGGGCTCAAACAATCCTCTCACCTGGGTCTCCCAAAGTGCTGTGATTACAGGAGTGAGCTACCATGCCTTGCTCCTTTTTTTCTTTCTTTGAGTCGGAGTCTCGCTTTGTCAACCAGGCTGGAGTGCAGTGGCATGATCATAGCTCACTGCAGCCTTGAACTCCTGGGCTCAAGCGATCCGCCTGCCTCAGCGTCCCAAGGTGCAAGGATTACAGACTCATATTTTTAATTTATCTAACTTTAAGCACGGCCTGTACCTCCCCAAGTCGTGACAAACAACGACGTTTTCCTCCAGACTACCTTAGCTCCAGGAGGGCAAAACCACCCTTTTTCAACCAGAAGTTGAAGGATATTGAGGTCACACCACTCAAAACAGAGCGGGAATACAAAAATATCAGAGCTGGTGTTATCTCAGTGATACCTCTTTTAACTTCAGTGACACCCTACTCTCGTGGTCTTCTCCTACCTCCCTAGCCACTCTCCAGTCAGTCTCCTTTCCTGTACTTAAATTTCACAGTACCCCAGGAGTTGGCCAGGGTCTTCCGCTCTCGACTGAAACTTATTTCTTTGAGGTTTTCATCTAGTTCTCCAACTTTAAATAGCATCTCCATTGATAAGCTCACAAATAAGGCACTTTCAAGTCAGTGGAAGAAATGACAGAAAAACAAAGGACTTTCCATATACGGGGGAAAAAAAAAATCGTTCATCGCTGTGGGAGGGCTGCCGGATCTCGGCCGCGCTCCCTTTTGAGCGCCTACAGTGAGAGTAGGATTCCCACAGACCCCCAATCCATAAGTGAGTCAGGGCTCCAAGAAAGACCCACGGAGGGAGAGGGGAACGTCCGGGGAGGCGGAGGCTGATGAAGGCTGCCAGTGAGACCCGCAGAGGCTGATGTCGGCAGGTCTGCGCGCTCGCAACCGGACCCCCCCACCCGGTCAGCAGGAGGACCTTGGTGCGCGATCCTCGGATTCCGCGAAACCCGACAACCGACTGGATCCAAGAGCGCGGTCACCTCTAAAGTGACCATCAACCAATCGCTGGAGGAAATCCGCAGCCTCGTTTTAAGCGACCAATCCGAGACCGCGACGACCTATTATGACACGCTCGAGAACCAATGAAAAATGGGAATTCTCTTAGCCTGCCTCCTGAGTTTCAAGAGATCGCTCAAAGTTTTATAAACGGTACAAATTAGAAAACAACTATTCTGCAGCTGGATTAGAGACATTGTGTTTTCAAAGACGGTGGAGAGGACTGGAGTAAATTCTAGAAGCGAGCAAGACCGCACTACCCCAGAACGTCGCAGGCAGCGGACTAGCTACTCACAATCTAGCCCAGGGCCGACACGGGAGAGACGTGCCGCTGCGCGCTGACGTCACGTGCCAGGCCCCGCCCCACCGGCCGCCCATATAGCGTAAGTCTGGCGCGCGCGCGCACCATTGTGTGGCTGGACTCGGCCGCCGCTGCGGTGTGAGGCGCGTGTTCGAGCTTTTGCCGTCCCCGCACCCGCACCGCGGCTACTGGCTTGCGGTCCGCCGTTCAACAACCAGCCCTTGGGCCCCTGCCCGCCACGGACATGCCGCGCGTCTACATAGGACGCCTGAGCTACAACGTCCGGGAGAAGGACATCCAGCGCTTTTTCAGTGGTTATGGGCGCCTCCTCGAAGTAGACCTCAAAAATGGGTGAGTCGGGCCTGAGCGCCCGCGCCTAGCGTCCCAGGCCTGGTGGCGGCGGGAACTCTCCTAGGAAAGAGGCGGCGAAGGCCGCGGCGCCGCGTGGCAGGGCCTTCAAGATGGCGGCGGCGCGGCGCCGCGGGGGCGCGCGGCGGGTTGCGGGCGCGCGCACGTGCGTGCCCTGACTAACGACGCCCCCGTCGGTATCCGGCCCTCGCACCGCCCCCAGGTACGGCTTCGTGGAGTTCGAGGACTCCCGCGACGCCGACGACGCCGTTTACGAGTTGAACGGCAAGGAACTCTGCGGCGAGCGCGTGATCGTAGAACACGCCCGCGGCCCGCGTCGCGATCGCGACGGCTACAGCTACGGAAGCCGCAGTGAGTCCCACCCCCGCGCGCTCCGCGCCCTTGGGGACCCTGGGGGGCGGGGGTGTGTGGGGTGGGGCCTCCCAGCCCGGGCAGGCGCGAGGACCGGGGGTCGTTTGACTCGGGAATCCCCGAGTCCCGCCGCCTTCACGTCTGCCCGGGGTAGGCATGGGACGCCGGAGCGCGGGGATTGGGGTGTTTGGTTTTGTTATTTGCCAAGTTGGGAGGTGGGTGGCTTCTTCTGGCCCCTTGTCAGCACTGTCACGGGTTCTTCCCACAGAGGAAGTAAGGGGTGGCTGTATTTGTTGTATCCCCCTTACTTACCTGTCAGTGCATTAGTTAGAGGATTAGAGGCAGGCTGGGGTGGAGGGGGGCGGGGGGGACGGGGGACGGGGAAGGGAGGATCTTAAAGTACAGATTTTAAAGCTATGGAAATTGATGGGGCCAAAGAAAGTACTATTTCAAAGTAATGTGGTGTTGTACCACAAAGTAGATCTAAATAAGCTTTATGCTGTATTTGAACTAGTTGGGGCATGTTATTGGGAGGAGGTGGGGGGATTTTTGGTTATGTTAAATGTTTGATGTTTAAACTGTTGCATGTTGAATTCAAACTTTTTAACAAGTCCTTGATGTTTCAATTTGAAAGTGACCAATGGGGCTGAGGCTGTGTCCACTGAGGCTAAGATGACTGCCTTTCCTGATTGGCCTTGGCTTTTCCATACATTGTGTGACCCTTGCCCTATGACCCTTTGGCTGACCTTACCGGAAGCCATGACGACAGCAGCCTTTTGCCATTAGACGCAGGGTGATGGTGAGGATTCCAAGGGTTAGACAAAACTGGTTAATCTGAACTAGGTGACTGTTACCTTGCGTGTTTTGTGGCCAAACCACCACCAAAAACCTCACACTGTGATGTAAGTACTTAGTGTAAAACTAGTAAACATTTTTGTAAAATGTAGAAATGCATGTAATCAGTTAAGTTTTATATTTTACAATGTTCTGTAAAATAAAACTTAGCGAGGTAAATTGAATAAAGGAGCAGTCACTCTCTAACAGATTGTAGGAGAGGTTTAGTTGGATTTAGTCTATTGGACTTGCCCTTAATTTAATTTATGGCAAATCGCAAATGTGTCAAAGGTTTAGCAATATAATAGCAAAGTCCTACTCCAGTAAATAAAAGTTGATATGTTTGTACTAACTTTCAAAGACATGCATTTCTATCATTACAAGGCATCTAATTGTTCCCTTCATGTGATAAAGGTGGTGGAGGTGGATACAGCAGTCGGAGAACATCTGGCAGAGACAAATATGGACCACCTGTTCGTACAGAATACAGGCTTATTGTAGAAAATCTTTCTAGTCGGTGCAGTTGGCAAGATTTAAAGGTGTGTGCTATAATTCAGGCTACGAGTGAATGCTTTAAAGTAGCCTTTTTTTACATTCTTATTTCTGGGAATTTATTGTAATATATAGATCTTTCAAGATTTCTGAGTATGACTAGTCTTGCCATTTTAGGATTTTATGCGACAAGCAGGTGAAGTAACCTATGCAGATGCCCACAAGGAACGAACAAATGAAGGTGTAATTGAGTTTCGCTCCTACTCTGACATGAAGCGTGCTTTGGACAAACTGGATGGTACAGAAATAAATGGCAGAAATATTAGGCTTATTGAAGACAAGCCACGCACAAGCCATAGGCGATCTTACTCTGGAAGCAGATCCAGGTAACTTGTGGGGAGGAAACAATATTTGCCAATAAAACAAAAAGGAAGTAATTGGGTAATTTCAGTTGTTGCCTACTTGAATTAAAGCCAGCTTTTAGTTTCTCTTGGCTATAATTGGGTTTTTTTCTAGTTGTTTTGACAGATTTAATTTTGTAGTAAAGAAATACATTATTCTTTGGCTTATCTATTTTTGCCAAATAGCACAGATTTATTTAAGGTGGACTGGGATTAAGAGTTCATTGTGTTTTTCATAATAGGTCTCGATCTAGAAGACGGTCACGAAGTAGGAGTCGCAGAAGCAGCCGCAGTAGATCTCGAAGTATCTCAAAAAGTCGCTCCCGGTAAATAATGTGTTGAGTCTCTGAATATTACTGTACTTGTTTATGGAGTTACGTGTATGTTCCTACAGAGTTTTGAGAAAATTGGTCTTCTCTTGTCCAGTTCCAGGTCGCGGAGCAAAGGTCGGTCACGTTCTCGATCAAAAGGCAGGAAATCTAGATCAAAGAGCAAATCTAAGCCCAAGTCTGATCGGGGCTCCCATTCACATTCTCGAAGCAGATCTAAGGATGAGTATGAGAAATCTCGAAGCAGGTCTCGGTCCCGATCCCCCAAAGAAAATGGAAAGGGTGATATAAAGTCAAAATCCATGTCAAGGAGCCAGTCCCGTTCCAATTCGCCACAACCTGTTCCACCCTCAAAGGCTCGTTCTGTGTCCCCTCCACCAAAAAGAGCTACTTCAAGATCCCATTCTAGATCTCGCTCAAAGTCAAGATCAAGGTCCAGGTCGAGTTCCAGAGATTAACTCAGAACTCCTCTCTCTTCTTTGCACACGATTACAGAACACTTTCCTTCTTGCTTAGGCAGTTACTCTTACATGTTTGTACCTGGCCTCTTCTGCAAGAGGAATTCTCCTGAAGTCAGGGGCACACAGAAATTTGATTTGTGGCCAAATTTGATGAAAAAGATGAGGTTCTAAGGAAATGGTGGCATGAAGTCAAAGACCCTCTCCCTTCTTTGTAGAATTAAGATAACTTTGATTTTATAGCTTTTGAGCTACAATAACTTTTGTAAAGATTAAGCTCATTTAGGTGTTTTGTTGTTAAGTATTTCAGCAGGATCTGCTGGCAGGGTTTTTTGTTTCATTTGTTTGCTTATTTTTAATTAACTGTTTCAGGCTTCCAATACTTAAGGCTTTAGAGGGAGAACCCAATTTTCAATTATGTTGGCTTTTTATGAAGCTTGAGTTATGTAAGATTTAAATAAAAGTTTGCTACCAAGATGATTGCCTTATTGAATAGGTCACTATTAAATTCCTTTAAATGTTGATATCTGCCATTTGTGGAAACAGTGTAAATTCTACTTAAGTGTAAAACAAGGCAAGCCTCAGACCAGCAATAAATTATTCAGTTTGGATAATATTATTTTGTGCTGTTAATCAAATTTGCCAAAGTCTTTATCTGCCCCTTTAACAAGTTGGGTTAAAAATAAAAAGTATTTTATAATCAATCTGTTCCAAGATTTTGCTTAAATTAATACTTGTAAGTAATGGAACATTTTTCATAGGCAAATTTAAGAAATTGTTCCTAATACTTGAGATCTTGTTTAGATAATCCACTTTCTGGAAGTTGTCAGCATAATTAGTCTTAGAGTATATGGTTCAGTTGTCCTTGTTTGTCATGTGAAAATGGAAGTAGCCTCTTTGATCTGAAATTTAGTTTATTCGAAGTGTAAAAGCACATACTGCATTTTCACCTCGAAGAGCATTATATTTAACAGGCACTTAATTTCAGTAAAGTCGTTGCCAATTAACTTCCACCCAGTAGTCAGTCTCCTTTGTAGTTAGTGGGATTATGTGATAATTGGTCAGATCATACTGGTAAATTTTAATGCTTTGTATGGTTAGTTGAAGAACTTGAAATGGATAAACCCAAAATTTTTTGTACTTAATTACCAGTGAAGTGTAATGAGTACTGTGGAAACCAAATTTGAATACTGCAAATTTGTAGGTGTTACTAGGTTAATAGTCAGTTCATACATCCATAAGTGTGATAAGTTGAAATTGCAGTTTGAGAATGGAATTAACCTTACATCCCTTTTTTCAGATATTTTTGCATAAAGTAACCTTATTTGAAAGCATTTATTAATCTTAGACTGAAATAAAGATCTAGATTAATTGGCTCAGCTTTAATACCTTTCTAGAGCTGTCACTGTAGGGTACCAAGGGTTGGATTGTGACGGGGCATGGGTGCCACAGGTGTGACTAGAAAGCATGATACTCTAGGGTTGGATGTTAGGTTCAAATAATCCAGAAGCATACCTAATAAGATTGAAAAACTTGAGTCATATTTAGGGCATTCACAGAGTAGCTATGAGTAGTTGGTAATGTGGAAAAGGCCTTGTTTTTAAGAAATTCCTGGGTTTCCTATTGAAAACGTTAAAGCCCAGCCTTAGGAATATAGTGCCCCAAAAGTTGGATGCTTCTGTTATCTTATTTCTTTAATACTTTATTTAATTAGATGTTTCTAAAGAAGTGGGTTTGTTTTTACAGTGTAAACCTCAGAATTTAAGGGAAGAAAATGGTGTCTGTTACTGTAGTTAATTGTTTTTGCCTCCTCAAAGGACAGAAATGATGACTCTTAAAAATTGGCTTTGACCAAAGTTCTCTTGTTTTCAGGGACATAGCATAAAAGCTTTTTGAACCACAGCCTTGAAGTGAGAGGATATTAAAGAAATTCGGCTTTCTAAAACTATGAAACATCCTTCAACTGGGCTCTATTGTTAATAGGACGTACGATAACAGACTGATTTGACTACATTGTTAGCTGCCCCAGTAAGCGGGGTGATTGTATAGGTAAATGCCTGTACCCGTAATTTTCTAGCAATAGCCACGACCAATTTGTTAAAACTCAAGGCCTAGCCATGCCTGTACACCTGAGTCACTGGATGCACAAAATCACTGTGTAACACTGGCTCACTTGATTATGAGCATAGAGTTGACTGACAAAATGTTTAGTTCCCTTGCTAACTTGTGAGAAGAATGAGTTGCAACATGCTCCATACCAGTGGCTAGATGGAGTATTAAAGTGGAGCAGAAGAGAAGTGAGAACATCTTGGTTCCCCTTTCTTTTACTTGGTGTTTATGAACATGCCGTAGTGCCTTTATGGCCAGTTTGAGTCCTGCCTACTTTGACTTTTACGTTCCCATTCCTGTGTTACCACCTTATTCCCAGTTTGTTAACCTATTTTGTGCTTTAAATCTCAATAAAATACTTACTGAGGGAAAGGCTTGTTTTGAGTTTATTGCGGATGCCCACTTAGGACCAGATTCTTGACAAATGATTATTTGAATTGGAGTTTGCATTGGCAAGCCATTTCTATGTTGGTATGAGAAAGGATCCTGTTTTGACTTCTCCAGAAACGTGAGTTTGAGATTAAATAAAAGGTGTATCTTGGGCAAATCACTGTGCTTCAGTGTCACCCATGAAACAATATGGATAAAACATGCATGGATGTGAAGATAAGAATATGGAGAGTACCATAATATAGTTTTATTCACAAAAACACATGCTTAGACTCCACCTCGGAATCTACTTACAAATGTAGCTACTGTTAACAGTACTTGTACCTGCTCAGAAATTCCTATAATATAAACATGCCCTTTCAGGATTTTTTTTTTTTTTTTTTTTTTTTTTTTGTTGAAAGTTTCGTCCTTGTTACCCAGGCTGGAGTGCAATGGCGCAATCTCGGCACACTGCAGCCTCCGCCTCCTGGGTTCAAGGAATTCTCCCACCTCAGCCTCCTGAGTAGCTGGGATTACAGGCGTGCGCCACCATGCCCAGCTAATTTTTTGTATTTTTAGTAGACGGGGTTTCACCATGTCGACCAGGATGGTCTCGATCTCTTGACCTCGCCCTTTTAGGTTTTCAGTGATCATGCCATGAATAATATGTAGCTTGTTTTAATATATGCTAATATAGAGATCAGCTTTAAATGGCAGACTGGTCTGGTATACCATTGAATGAATGAAAATTTTTTTTTCAGAATTGGTAACTGAATAAGTTGACTTGTGTATCAACACAAATTTAAAAATTACTTTCAAGATTCAGCATTATATGACAAAACAGTTCTGGCAATAGAGCACCTAGTGTAGTCATTACCAATTTATATGCTAGTCAGTCAGTGACCACATCTTGAATAACATATTTGTATCCCAAACATGTATGCGTCCATTTACTGAAAGGATGAGTCAGTACAGTTGTGCAGTTGGTCTTCCTAGATCATAAATAGCTTGTTTCTATATGCCTGTTTATCTTAGAGCAGTCCTGCAGAAGGCTCCCAGTATAGTACTTAACAATTGTCATTAGCTTTTTTTTTTTGAGACAGTTTTGCTCATTACCCAGGCTGGAGTACAATGGCAGGATTTCAACTCACCACAACTTCTTCCTCCTGGGTTCAAGCATTTCTCTTGCCTCAGCCTCCCTAATAGCTAGGATTACAGGTATGTGCCACCATGTCCGGCTAATTTTATATTTTTAGTAGAGACAAGGTTTCTCAGTTTTAATCAGGCTGGTCTGGAACTTGTGACCTCAGGTGATCTGCCCACCTCAGCCTCTCAAAGTGCTGGGATTGCAGGGGTGAACCACCTCACCCAGCCTTTTTATACCTTTTGAATAGAAAGGAATCATGGTTCACAATTGTAAGATTGGGTGCTCATGCCTGTAATCCCAACACTTTGGAAGACCAAGACAGGAGGATCACCTGAACTCAAGTTCAAGACCAGCCAGGCCAACAAGGTGAAACCCTGTCTCCACCAAAAATAATAATTAGCCTGGCGTGGTGATACATGCCTGTAGTACCACTACTGGGAGGCTGAGACAGGGGAATCACTTGAACCCGGGAAGCAGAGGTTGCAGTTATCTGAGATCACACCATGGCACTCCAGCCTGGGTGACAAGAGTGAGACTGTCTCAAAACAACATAAATTTTTTTTTTTTCTCATTTTGAGACGGCGTTTCACTGTTGTTACCCAGGCTGGAGTGCGATGGCGTGATCTCGGCTCACCACAACCTCCGCCTCCTGGGTTCAGGCAGTTTGCCCGCCTCAGCCTCCCGAGTAGCTGGGACTACAGGCGTGTGCCACCATGCCCAGCTAATTTTTCTATTTTTAAAAGTAACAGGGTTTCACCATGTTGACCAGGATGGTCTCAATCTCTTGACCTCGTGATCCACCCGCCTTGGCCTCCCAAAGTGCTGGGATTACAGGCGTGAGCCACCGCGCCCGGCCCAAAATACAAAATTTTTTAAATGTGTTTTCTAGGAACAGGGACATCTATCACTACAGAATTCTCAACCTCAGGAAATTAACATTGATAACACTGTTTTCTGATACACAGTTCATATTGAAATTTCATCAGTTATCCCATAATGTTCGTTATAATTTTATCTCTTGGTACAGGATTCTTTGGTTGCATTTTGTTGTCACAGCTCTTGATTCTTAATGGTATGTCCTCAGGCTTTTTCTTCATCTTATTTTTTAAAGAGCAGTTTATTTTTTAAGTTTTTCCTCATCTTGGGTTTGTCTCATGTTTCTACATGACAGCATTTTTGGCAGGAATATCACAAAAATGAGACTCCTCAATGCATTTTGTCCAGTGGCCCATGTTAATAAGCAGGATCACTATAAAGTTATTTTTTAAGTAATTTGTGAGGGAGAGGGGGCTAACTTGGAGGCTGGGTGTATTTGTTGGCATTCTACCATAAAGGAAGTGCTTTCGGCATGGTGAGGGGTAGGGCGGGGGGCACTATATGTATTTTCTTTGTGTTTTTTTGTTTTTTTAAGAGATGGAGTCTCACTCTGTTACCCAGGCTAGAGTGCAGTGGTGCAATCATGGGCCCAAGCGATGCTTCCACCTCACCCTCCCAAATTGCTTAAGACCACAGCTGTGCACCAGCAAACCCAATTAAGGGAGCAGACTGTTGTAAAGGTAAGGTTTAAAGAAGGTGGGTTTTTTGTTTTTAGGAGGGAGCCAATTTGGAGATGAAGACCTGCTGAAGGGGTAGCTTTGATGGTATTGGGTTGAACCCCCATTACTGCCGAAAGCAGGAGAATAAGTCCCCTGGCTCAGGGCCAAAGGGATTGGGTGGCAAATAAGTTACACCCTCATCTATAAAACAAGACCTGCTAATACTGTGAAAAGTAAATACTATTATCAAAGCCTTTGGCAGAGTCACTCATTAAATAGTAACTGCATTTATGAAAACATTCTAAAATAGAACTAAGCGCACCAGTGCAATGGTTGATGCCTGTTCATCCCAGCACTTTAGGAGGCCAAGGTGGGAGGATCACTTGAGATCAGGAGTTGGAGGCCAACACGGTAAAAACCTGTCTCTACTAATAATACAAAAATTAGCTGGGCGTAGTGGTGCAGGCCTGTAATCCCTGCTACCCTGGAGACTAAGGGAAGAGAATCACTTGAACCTGGGAGGTGGACGATGCAGTGAGCCGAGACAGTGCCACTGTACTCCAGCCTGAGCGATAGAGCAAAACTCAGAAAAAGCTAAACTCTTAATATACTGTTCCAACCAACTGGAGAAAAAGGAAAAAAAAAAAGCTAAACTGTTAATACTGTTCTAACCAACTGGAGAAAAAGGCAAAACAGATGCCAAATGTGGAATGTGGTGCCCAAGTGTCAGAGTATCTACTATCCCTCCTTTTTGGTCCTTCATGAACAACCTCAGTGTATTAAATACATTACTGTTATTTTTGTCATACAAAATTTCAACCACCATCAAGAATGGCAGAATGAAGGCCCCTTGCATTCATCTAGCTTTAACAATACATACCTGTCTACTTCCTCCCCCAAATAAGTAATTTTGAAGGAAATCCTAGACAGTTTATCTGTAGATTCACTATTTTTTGTTGTTGTTTTATATTTTTTGAGACGGTGTCTCACTCTGTCGCCAGGCTGGAGTGCAGTGCCTCCATCTTGGCTCACTGCAACCTCCGCCTCCGGATTCAAGCGATTCTCCTGCCTCAGCCTTCTGAATAGCTGGGACTGCAGGCACATGCCATCGTGCCAAGCTAATTTTTTTATTTTAAGTAGTGATGGGGATTCACCATGTTGGTCACTATGGTCTCAATCTCAACTTTGTGATCCGGCCACCTCAGCCTCCCAAAGTGCTGGGATTATAGGCTTGAGCCACCTCGCCAGGCCTTAAAAGACATCTAAACTCTAAATCTAGAGTCCCTCTTTTTGTCCCTTTGCAGTCTGTTTATTGGAGAAGCTAAGTCATTGTCCTATAGTTTCCCAGTCTCAATTTTGCTGATTGAAATCTCATGGTATCATTAAGTGTACTCTCCTGTATGCTGCATTTCCTGTGAATTAATAGACCTAGAGAAACTTTCTTTTTTTTGAGAAGGAGTCTCACTCTGTCACCCAGGTTGGAGTTGCAATGATACAATCTCAGCTCACTGTAACTTCTGCCTCGGGGGCTCAAGTGATCCTCCCACATCAGGCTCCTGAGTAGCTGCCACTATGCTCAGCTAATTTTTTGAATTTTGGGTAGAGACAGGGTTTCACCATGTTGCCCAGGCTGGTCTCAAACAATCTCCCACCTTGGCCTCCCATAGTGATTAAAAATTAGACATGGTGCTGCCCACTTGTGGCCCCAGCTACTCAGGATGCTCAGGTGGGAGGATCACAAGCTCAAGAGGTTAAGGCTGCATGCAGGGAGCTGAGCATGCCACTACACTCTAGCCTGGTGACAACGAGACCCTGTCTCAAAAAAGAAAAAAAGTGGTTCCCAAAGCAGCAGCATCAGAATCATCTCAGATATTAGATGTTAGAAATACAACTTCAGGCTTCACCCCAGACTCTGAATCAAAAACTCTGGGTAGAGTCAAGCACAGAAAGACAAACTTTTCATGTTCTCACTTATTTGTGGGAGCTAAAAATCAAAACACTCGAACTCATGGAAATAGAGAATAGAAGGATGGTTACAAGAGGCTGGGAAGGGGGTAGTAGGCAGTGAGGGGTAAATGGGGATGGTTAATCAGTCCAAAAAAAAAAATTCAAGACACAGTATGTGATAGCACAACAGATGACTATAGTCTGGAAGTGTACATTTTAAAATAAAGATTGTATAACTAGATAGTAACATGAAAGATAAACATCTGTGTAGTGTGGGTAATTTAAAAGAAAAAATAAAAATTTTTTAAAATGCTTGGGGTGGGTGGCTGGGTCATCTGACCCAAGGGGCCTTTGAGGTGTTTTAGGGTGCTTAC